AGGTCTATTTCAGTGTTTCTTTGATGTTTAGGGTTTAGTTTTTGGATTGATTTGAGTTTGTAGAGCAGCCGGTTCCTTTTTTCACCTTATAAGGTTTTATCCTAAGGTATCAAGTGGTGCTTCGGCTGTCGCTTGGTCTCCAGGTTGCATTTATCCTTCCGATAACTTTTCTAGATATCTTTTCTCCCATCCATTCCTACATCGCTCCAACATCACCTTTATTGTTATTCTGCTGCTGCAGTCCAGAAAATAGGAAGCTGTTGTTTTCCAAGTCCAACCTGCTGCCGCCGCCCAGGGACAGCAATGGTATTGTTGTCTTTCCTTTCCTCCTTGTTGTTGCCACCAAGAAGAGCCTTCCTAAAACTTTACTTGCTTCCCTCCTTACTGCCACCACCCAGAACCGCCAGCCTCATATTCTTGCTCCTGCTGCTGCCCCAAACAGCGCTCCCATAACTGTTTGTGCTTGCAGCTTGCAGTCTGGACTCCTGGAAACAAATGTCTTGGTGTTTCCAACTTGCTAGCCGCCACCTCACCACCACCCAAGAGGTCCAAACCCTAACTAGAACCACCTACATGCTATTACCTAGTATTTTTCATTGTTATTTGCTTTCAGTGTGTTGTATTTTCAATTTCTAACTTCTATAAAATAATTAGTGGTTATGTTGTGTTTCTCCTTTATTTCTATACCAATTCCGGTATCATATGATTTCCTCAGTTAAGATCTCTAACAAACTAAAAATCACCCTACAAGACATGTATTTTATCTTTTTTGACAAAGTACAAATGTAGCCACTTATGTAGCCTAACGAGTTATCACAACGAGTTATCAAACCGAACCAAGAAATCAGTGAATAAGGTTGAAACTAAGAAAAAGATGAGGCATTGCAACACCTTTACTTTACTCTTTCAATTCATATAATCCCAAAGCTTCCCTCTATCTCGCCCCCTTTCTCTCTCTTCTCAATTCTCTCTTCTCTTCTGAAGTACTCTAGTCTGGGTGATCTGGTGGCATGATTGACGGATAATTTAGGATCCAACAGGTTCAATATTCCAAGGATTTTCATTTCCAATTCTCTGACATAGAAAGGCTGATTTGAAGTATAATCATGCCAACCTGGGTAGTTTTATTAAAACTTGTGATATCTAAAAGCAGCAAAATTTTAACTAGCTGGGAATCTACCAAACAAGTAATGTGATGCCATTTTTTTAATTTATGAATACTAGTAGGGTCGAAATTGGAGGATCTCTAAGAGATTTTTGTAAAAGTATCATTAGTGTCATTTCTCAATGCCCGGCACTAAACTTAGCGCCAACGTTTAATATCAATTCTCATTATCATTCTAATTCCCATAAACAAATTCACAAAAAGTTTAGGCTGAGTCAGTTCTATCACAACATTCCCAGCTTCAGACAGTGTGTTGTACAGAAGCTTACACTTAGATAATTAAATGGAAGTGTTAGGAATCCCGCAGGAAGAAAAGGAAAGCAACTTTAACCAAATATGATATATGTTGGACTGAGCAATTAAAAAGCTTGTTATGAAAAGTAGGAAGCAAGTGTGAAATAAACATTAATGTCATCGAGCGTTAATGACAGATAGACATTCAATTACAAAACTTATGCTAAAATTCTTGATAAGAATCCTGATGCGGTGTTTTCTAGTGAAGCATGTCTCAAAAGTAATACACCATGATATTAATATTTTGAGAAATTATTTGAAATGAATAATAGTATCGTGGATGAAAATGAAGGGAGTCAAGGGACCCAGAAAATTCTGAAATAATATTTTGAGAAATTATTCAATGAAAGTTAAACTGATGAATGCTTCCGGATAAATGAAAATTAGCACATATCATTAAGAGGATGGACAAGTTCACTTTAAATAAAATAAATAAAGAAGAAAACAATCATGATCAAATTGAAATATGAAGATCCACAAGAAATTGTTTGAAAGATTGGGTAAAATATTGTTTTAATGAAATCTAAAAGTAAAAATAAAGCTAAGCCATCGAAGCAACCTTTTTGATATTTAGCTTTGTGTTATTCATAGAAAAACTAATGAGAGTCGAACAATAAAATCATGAAAAGATGATAATTGGACATGTCGACAATAAAAGAATCATTATTAGAGAATCAAATTCATTTTATGTGATGAAGATTTAAGATGGAGAAGATTTTTATCCTAGAGTAAAAAATATGCTCAAGCATGATATGTAACATCAAGATCATCAGATGGCATTTTGATAACCATGGAAAGATATATGATCAAATACACATAAACGAAAAAAATCTATATATATATATATATATATAGTTAAGAGATTTTTACATATGGAGGCCCCAAATAATACTTATTACATGTAAAAACAAAAAAAATAAATTAATTTACGGGTGAAGATCTTCTGTTACGCCTGGCAGCGGATGACTTCGGCGCGGCTTCCCAGTGTGGCTTCCCCTCTCAGCCTGAAACCCTCGCCTACATCCTGCCCCTCCCGATTTCACCCAAATCTCCCATCTTTGCCCCAAACCCTCGCTTATCTCCCTTCCCCTCCTGGTTCCGCTCAAAACTATCGCTTTCGTGAACAAAGCATCACAATACAGTCGCCATTATAGATACCATCGAAACTCCCATCTTTCTCATTTACCGCTTGGCTCCTACTAGAAATCATTGCGGGAGGTAAGCTTGTCTGTGCCATTCTTCCTCTAAGCTCGTAGAATGTTGGCGAGGGTTTCAGGCTCCTACCAAGCTGGGAGGACACGCCGCTACAACCGAGAGGCATTTGGGGCAAAGATTTGGGAGAAATCAGGGGGGTAGTGATATAGGAAAAGGTTTTAGGATGAGAGGGGAGGCCATGCCGGGAAGCCACACCGAAGTTGTCCATTGGCGAGCGTAATAGAAACCTTCACCCGTAAATTTAATTTTGGGGGCCTTTACATGTAATAATTATTATTTAGGGACCTCCATATGTAAAAACCCGTATAGTTAAGAAGGAAAAATCTGCCAATAGCATGACAAAGTCACACACACACAGAATTTAAAAACCGAATAAATAGAAAAAAAACTAATTTCAATTCAATTACTCCATCATTTCCACATTTATTAAAATTTCCCTTTATGAAGTTGGCGTACTTTAAAAGCCTCAATGTTTGTGTCGAACATGTTAAGAACTACCACAAACTTGACATTTGTTCGACAAACTGATTTTTTTTTTTTTTTTCAAATTTTGATTTAGACACAAACATAGCTAGAAGATGTGATGAAATATACAATTTTTTTTTATAAAGTAGCTTTAAAAATTATATTTTTATGGATGATGGTGAAGATTTTATTGAAGAGTTGGGATTAGTAATGATGATGATTGTGATACCGAGTATGCTTTACTAATGAAACGTTAAAGTAATCATCTTTTCTTGGACATTTTGAAGATTTTTTCTTTTGATATTATGTGAAATAATGTAATATTGATAATTATAAAGTCATGCCTAATTATTAATGTTATAGTTAGTCTGTTATTCATAATAAAGTAGAACTGGAAAAATATGAAAATATAATTTTAATAAAGCCAACGCTTTTTAAATTTGTAATAGTTTTAAAAGAAAATAAGACATCAGATGTCTTCGTAATACATTTTATATTAATAATTTATAAAAAAAATTATGAACATGGCATGTCGTGCCCTACATTTTACGATGATGTTTTGCCCGCATGTCCATGTCGTTCGCATGTCCATGTCTCATGGTAACGTCCTCGCTTTATAGCATCCAAGCATCCAATATTTAATTTCCTTCAAACGAGTCAACAAAGACATAGGAAGGTTAGGAGTTGGTTGACCCAGCTAGAATAAATTTTGAAAAGGTATCATAGATCACCATTTATGGACATGAAAAGATTTAATCTTATGCAATAAAATGAAACAGAAATAGACTGCACCCATTAAAAACCAAACTTATATTCTGACATATTATTAATTATTTATTAGTGCCATATCATCAAAAATGACTTGTGGGCTTAGAAAAAAAAAATATAAGAAAACTAGCAATTGCAATAACATTTGATAAAACTACACCTTGATAGCTCACCTGGTAGGTCATGTTTCTTGAAATTGGGGCCCACTCTTCCTCTATCCTTTTTCTTAAAAAGTCAACACTCTCTGTTGGTGGAAGGCGTACATCAAACCCTGCCTCAGCTTCTGAAGGTTGCAAATTCATTACAAAACCCTGAAATTAATAAATTCGAAACTTTGTCTTATGGAATGCACAGATCAATTTGCAATCAGGGATATAGGGGACGAGGAATGTAACAATTTCATGAGCTAATATTTTTAAGAAAGGTTGATGATAAACTGATAAGCAATATTAACCAATTTTTTTATAAATCAAATTCAAACAAATTTCAATCTAAATATGCTAAAAATAAAAGGATAAAGGAAGTTGGAACAATTTTCTAGAGAGAGAAAGCTCGTAAACATACTTTTCATAAATATTTGCAACTTTTGATAGCTAGGCTCCATAGTTGCCTCAAAACTATTAATCAAAAATGCATATGGACATGGACAAAATAGAACAGAAAAAAGTATAAAACAGGCCAACGAAATAAAAAATACAAGATTATTTATTTAAAATATAAATAATTGGTAGAATTAGACTTTGTAGAAAAACATTTATATTAAATAGTTAGATTAAAAAAACATAGATCAATACAACAATTTTGAGGCAAAAGGAATATATTACTAAGAAAAAGAAAAAAGTGCTGATAAAAAAAAGCTCAAATAAGATATTGAATGTGAAAGAATGAAAATATTATTGTTTTATAATATAACCAACTCAGAGACTATGTCTATTTGAGGCGACTGCAGCTTTTTGCAAATGTGATTATAAAACTATAGTGAGAAAAACAACTCCCTAGAAAGCTATTATAGAAATTATAAATATTGTCTTTATGCAAAAAATCAGGCGGCAGATGGCTCACAACTAATACACTTTAACATAATTGGTTGGGAAAAAATAAATTTACGCCACCAAAAATTCTAAAAAGTAACAAAAAAACCAGTTCTCCGAACACAACTAATCATGGCAGTTCGCAATGTAATACAGACAGAAAACTGCCATAAACATTCCCGTAGAGTGCAACAGCTTATCAATTGAGTTCAAAAAAACAAGTGCTCAGTCTCATGCATGTCTTAAAGATTCGAATAAGTATTTTACTATATTTTGAAAAATAATAACTAGCCAATTCTATAATGAAATAATGAGCCCAGCAAAGCATCTTGATGTTTTAAGTGCATATAAGCTTACAATCAACAAGAATCACGATAGCCTTTTGGAAGTGAATTGATCAATAGCCTCTATAATACTTGCCAAGTGCTTATAGGTAAATTTATTTCCATTGATTTACTCATGAATTATAAATGTAAGATATTTTATGAATTGAAAAGAAATATTAGCACAACAGAAACAAAGATGATCAACCTTGAGATATGACATTTGCATGGAAGAAAAATAGAATTCTTCTTATGTTGTATTCCTTCTGAGGAAAAAATAATTTATGAAGAGCTCAAATAGAAAGCCAATCTATGGAACAAAGACTTCTTCAATCATCTTGAAGTGGTATTTAAATACTGTGGCCTTACATAAATCCATGTAGCCATTATTGAATAAAAGTTTTAAATGTTTAATCCATTATGCTAGATTCATCATCAAATGGCTCCCTGTTAACAAATTTGAGGAAAGATGATGTGAAATTCAAACTCTGTAGTCATCAAACATACAGATATTATATTGCGTCAATCATTTTGACTTTTCAAATTTGAAATTGTGGATTTAAATTTTTTATTCTTAACTTTGGGTTCAGTATGTTGAATTTACATTCATAATGAATGAGTTTATACATCCAAATTTTAGTTTAGTTATATTTTCATTTATATGACCAGTTTGTGTGTGTGTGTGTGTGTGTGTGTGTGGAAGATTTCTTTCAAGAGCCTTCTAGCAGGTGGGCCCTCTGGCTAAGTGTCTAAAAAGACGAGTATAGTTGCACTTCTATTAGAATCATTATTTCTTTTCTAAAGTATAATTCATATTGTTATGGAATTGAGCAAAAATTGTTAGGCATTATGAGCCCTCCATCTTGAAATTGCAAAAAAACAAGTAACAGATGGAAACAAGCAATCATTAATGTGCAAAAGAAGGGGGACAAGTTTCTAGTTGCAAAAAAAAATAAAGATTATGTCTATCTGGTTGACAAAAGGAGTCATGTCGAGATCCCTGATAAATCTAATCTCATATTGACAAGGGGCTTGGTGGGTGGCTGAACCGGCCCCAACCAGTCCAGCCGGAGAGGGTTCGGTCCAACCAGAGGCAGAACCGGCCCCCTTTCCCTTTTTCATTGGGTGGCAATTTATTCCTTCCTTCCTGTTTTCGTTTCCCATCTATGCATTTTATATTTATATATTGTTTCTCTGTTTAAAGATGTTTTGTGAGTTTGATTTCATATTTCTGTCAAGGACAGCCGTCGGTGTCCTCTTTTCCCTTTCCAGGGTTGTATCCTAGGACAAGCGGTGATCCCGTTGTATCTCGCTCCAAGGTGACGGTTATCTTAGACATTTCCCTCCTTTGCATCCTCCCTTCCACCGCCGCCGCAGAACTTGCTGCACCCCTGAATCTTCCTTATTGACACCTACAACCAGCATCCCACCTATTCCAGCCACCAGCTGCTCAACCAGCCACTATATTCTCTGTCGCCCAAATAGGAAACTACATGTTGCACCGACAGCCACCACACAAGCCTCCTGCTGCCGCATTCTTTCCCTCCCACACCAGCTACAACTATTACTCCTCAGCCCCCTTCCAACATACCGTTTATTCCCTCCCAGCCTTCCTACTGCCACCTTGCCACCCCCAACTCTCTCGATATCATTCCAGCCCCCCTAGCACCCCAACCCTCGCACCTCTACAGCCAACCTGTACCACAACCTTCCCAAGCATCCACTCTTGTCTTCAACTAGAAAACCAACTTGCTCCCTTCCAACCGGCCACCACCTCTCGCACTGTCGTTCTAGCCCGAGTGTATTGTTTGTGTTGTTGTCATTTATTTCCTGTGTTGTCTCATCCTTCTGTTATTTCAAGCGTTGTTTGTAATTCCTTTTTGAATTTCAGCAATAACATTCATGTTTTTTATAGTAGTTTGGGTTTTTTAACACTAGTATCACACATTGGTTGACAACATCCACCATGTTGATAACCCCTGAAAGTTGTTCTAGTACAAATGGATAACAAATTTTACGCTTGCAATATCATTGTATACTCATCAAAAATATTATTTATTATTAAAATAGATTTATAAGTTATTAGGAAATTTATTTACTTATTTCTAGCGCCCAACGATTAGGCAAGAACCCTTTGTGGCACCAAGCACCTTTTATGTTAGTAAGCTATATTATCTTAAAAGTGCCTAGCTCATTACAATATAATAACTTTCTTTGCACATGAAATTTCAATTATTCGTTTGAATTAAGTAATATTTAATTTCTTGTTAGCAAATTCTATTAAAAAGCTTAGATCTTATAATTAAATTTTAGTTACAGCCATTTTCTACTTTCACCGAAGATAGAAAATAGTTGTTGAGATTAATAAACAGCTTTCTCACAATATTTGTAAGTTGTCATATGAGTTGATTGCATAAAAATTTGCAGAGTCAATTGAACCTACCTCACACAGTCTATACTTTTTCTAGGTTACATTACAGAAACAAAAAATAAAAAATTTAAAAAAAAATAACTGTTACAAAACTACAAAATGAATTGATTCACTTGCATATGAGCCCTTTATCTGCTCTAAAACCACTACAAGACAAATAAATTATTTACTAATAGATAAGGAGTAGCTAGTGCAGCAAAATTAGAATAATGATTGCGGATTTCAGAATAATCAATAACATAATTCTTGATCATAAGATGTATATGCAAACTTCCATTCTTTACTATTTTGAAACCTAAATGAATTTTTTTTAAGTTTCCATTAATTAAGATTACCTCCTACAATTTTATTTTTAGTGTACTGCACAAGGACCCACTTGAGCAAGTGGCTGAATGGATGGTTGCCACTTATATTGATTTTTTTCTATTTTGTTTCTTAGCAGAACTTTAAGGGCAGGTCACTGAGTGGGGGAATATTGCTGTAAATCCTCAACATTAGCCAATTTGTTAGAATCTGTAGAATTTTGTCGGTTGAAATTAGTTGAGTGAGCTTCGTATTAGATAAACACTTCTAATTAGGGAGGATGGAAATTAGTAATAAAGTGAATAAATTTCCGCTCTTATCAATTCTATTTTTCTTTTTTAATTTCTAAAGACATCACATATTATGTTACGTTTGTTAGGTTACATAAAAAAAAAAAACCAGCCTAGAGTGCACAATGAAATGGAGTAATCCACTTCAATATGAAGCCTTTATCTACTCGAGAAACATTGCAGAACAAATCATTATTTACTAGTGGAGATTAGTATACTATGTAGCAAGGTTAATCTGATATCTTTCTACCAAAACTCAAGTAAGAATGAAAGCGCATAAAAAAGATAGTCTATCAAGCTCAAAATTCAAAGGAAACAAGAATTGCAGAACAAGTGGAAGCAAATGCAGGACTTCTTCAACAGAATTAGGAATCCTCAAGATATTAGGTACATCAGATGGTGCCACCGTATATGTCGGTAAGCACTTGCATTAAAAACTTTTGATCATTATCAATGAAGCAGAAAAACTTAAGCATGAAAAAATAACCAGCACAAATGTTGACTATCGCTATTTGCACGATTGCAAAAATACCAATTAGTAAAAATTGCGCAAAATAATCTCTTGAAATTTCTTACCAAATATATTTATTTCCAAATATATTTCTTACTTAATATATTTGATATGATATATATGTGATATTTGCTACCAAATATATTAGTTTCCAAGTATGACTTGCTTAATGTATCTGATACCAAATATATTTCTACCAAATATGTTCTTTTGTAACTCTATAAATACCCATGACATAGCATGGGTGAGTGAGAAGTGATGAATTTAGTAAGAAATTGAGAAATTTTGTATTTGGCTTAATAGCCGATTCCCTTTTTTATTAGTGAATTTTTTTGCTTTGGCTCTCCCTTACTTTTTTTCCGATTTACATGATTTTCCACATAAATTTTGTCTTTTGTTTGTATAATTAAGCTTACTTGACGAAGATTGGTGTTATATTTTAACAAGTGGTATCAGAACTTACAGTCTCTTCTTCCTCTTCCACTACGCTGGTCAATTTTAAGATTGATCTTGTTCAACATCGATTTTATTTGTGAAATTGATCGCATTATTATCTTTGTCTTCTCAATGAGAACCACAATGAAGTACGACATTCAGAAGCTAAAATGGTCTACTTGTTTTGCTCCGTAGCAAATCACAATAAGAAATATCTTGGTTCAGTTGGATCGAGAAGACACATTTATTCGGCATTGATCACATACCAAGAAAATTATCTACTGCAATAGAAGCAATTAGGTTGAGAGGTTTATACGGAGAGTTCAACGAGGAGACTAGTAAGGTGATTGCCTTTTGTGATAGTTAAAGGGCAAAATTTAGCACTTTGGAGAATTCGTCGAGATGTCGAATGAGCTTCTTCTAGAAGGATGAACTCAACTCCAAGGCGAGGCGACAATCTCGGGAGTGTTTCCTGCATTTATTTGAAGAAAATATAAAAAATTCATATTTTTCACATAAAATCAAGCACTTGCTTACTAGCAACCAAGTTCAAGAATTGATTGGACTTGATCGTTGTTGGCCAAGGGTTTGTGAAGAGCGGAATGAAACTTGGAGCTTCACTTTCGAATCTGTTCTTTTGTAACTCTATAATTATCCATAACATGTCATGGGTGAGTGAGAGGTGAGGTATGAAGTAAGAATTTGAGAAGTATTGTATTTGGCTTAATCACCAACCACCTTTTTTATTTTGTTCCGGCTCTCCCGTGATTTTTTCCCGTTTATGAGATTTTTCACATAAATTTTGTGTCTTCAATTTGTATGTTCGATCTTACTTGACGATGATTGGTGTTATTTTCTTAACAAATTGATATATTGGTACTTTTGTAATCATAACCGTTTGCTAAAAAATTAAATAACAAAACCCTTTTGGTCAATGAGATATTTCCTAGCATTTACTTAAAGGGTTCTCAAAGAAGCATGCACTCATGATCACCTGAAAAAATAGAACTAGAATGGCGTTCAGAACCGCATCATTTGTTACAGCAATAGCCCGGATAATGGCTAGGTGATCGGTTAATTTAGGTTCACTTTATCAAAGGAATGCAGCGAATAAAATTTGTGATACACGCATATGAGTCCCACGGGTCTAATTTCTATATTTAGAATGTGTCTCAACAGAACAATATTGCGAAAACAGCAAGCAACTTTGCATAATTGAGGCCATTTTGAGATGCCAGGGAGCAAATTCTCACAAACAAACAAATTTTGAGTGAACTTATTGAGAAACTTACCGCATCACAAGCATAGTGTTTCTTAAAGACATGATTAAATGACTGTTCTGAAAAATAATGGGAAAAAGAAAGTTGTTTTAAATAACTAACAGTAGGAGTTGGCGTGCCCGCTTTGAGGTACACAGGATTCACCGAGATGACCTCGGAACCGGCCCTGATACCAGCCTTGACTAAATCAAACTGGATTTCCCTGAATCGAGCAACAGTCTCCACGCATTCCATCAGATTCTCCACTGCAGAGCTATCATGCATTTTCGATCCGTGACCGGGCGCACCCACCGCATTAACGATTAGCGACCATGGTAAGCGATCGGCATAGAAGACTCTGAATTCATCCGTAAGCGAGGCCTGGCCCTCATCGAGCACAAAGCCAACATTGAGCATCCTAAACTTCTCGGAGGCAACAAACTTTTCATTTCCATCTGAGCCGCCGATCTCCTCATCGGGGACGAGAGAAACGTGGATAGACCGGAGAGGAGAAAAGCCGCGAGCTTTGAGGTTGCGGAGGGCCTCGAGATACTGGATTGCGATGGATTTGTCATCCTGGGCACCGCGGGCAAATATACGGCCATCGGAGTCGCGGTAGGCGGAGAAAGGTGGGTGAATCCAGTGCGCGGGGTCGGCGGGGACGGAATCGATGTGGGAATTGAGCAGGAGGGAAGGGAGGGATGGATCTGAGCCGGTCCAGGTGAGGATGAGGACGGGTTTTCCTGGCTTGAACTCTATGGTTAGGGTTTCGAGGCCAATAGAGCGAGCCTGGGTGGAAAGGAAGGAGACCGCACCGGCGTAGTCGGGGTTCGGGTGGGCGGTCTGAATGCGGAGGTATTGCTGGAAGCGCTCGATTCTAGCTTCTTCATCTTCCGATGGGAGGAAACGTGGAAGCCTGCTGCGACGGTGGAGAGTGACATAATTCGGGTACTGATGAAAATTTTAGGCCATGTATTCACGATAGAATTCGATTTTTTGTTCTTTAAAGGAATTATATAATACAAATCCAATATCCAAATGGCTCTCGTGATTCGAGCTTTAGGATTAAGACAGTAGCACAGTTCTTGATTTTTCTTTGCGCTTGAAAAAACTCTTATCTTCTTTCTTCTTCTTTTTTTCTTCTAAATGGTGTTTCATGGAGTTTTATGCGGCATTTTTTCATGGAATCTTCATTTCCCCTATAAATTCTAGTTCTTATCCATCATTTCTTCGCCCATTTCCAGCTCTCAATCGGAAAAGTATAGCTTTTTCACATCTTAATCGTTTTTCTAATTTCAATTTGTCATTTGTTTCCAATTCATAATATATGATTTCTTTATCTGAACTTGAAGTAAAAAGAAAAAAAAAAATCAAATCCGTTGAACTTAGCCTTCATTGATTATGCTCTAAAGAAGAGGTTATTCTATGGTCTAGTAATAAAATGTGAAAATTGAAAGATGATGTTTATCTTCTATCTCTTATAGAAAGTTTTTTTTTTTTTTTTTTTTTTAAATTTTAGTTGTGCAAAGGATTTGGAAATTATTTTTAATGGTTGTTTTTTGCTCATCTATAGAAAATATGGTCTCAAGATTTTAGGTCGGTTAAACAAAATTTTAGAGAAGTTCCTATTTGGGTGAAATTCTAACATATCTTTGTATTGTCGGAATGAAGTTTGTATTTCTAAAATTGTGAGCAAAATTAGCATTTCATTAGTAGTTGATTCTTTAATGACTAAAGGCGTCTGACTTTCTTTTGCAAAAGTTAATATTCAAATTGATAACAATTCTTATCACCCATATTTTATTTCTCTTTATATAAATGTGCAAAAAAAAAAATTCCTTGTGTTATTTTGATGGAAAACAAATCCTTGTAAACACATGTTTCACATTTGCTCGTAATTTTCAATATTGTACTATATCTAATAACCATCAATTTGGAGCTACTTTACCAATGTTTAAGGTATGAATAGTAACAATAATACTGATACTAAATAATTTCAAAAATTTTTGAGTAAATCTCCTCTTCTCATTTCTGTTACAATACATGTTAATAATATTAGTATTGGTCTTGCACATGATATATACTAATGTTCTTGTTGACATATCTTCTAGTTATAATGATGTGAATGAGAATATTGATGAAATTCATTCTGTGATTTCTAATGTTAATCCTAAAGATTATGTTAGCTTTAGAGGCAACATGATTTCTCATGCCACCTCTAAAGTTCAAAATTATTTGATTACAAGTAATGAGCTTAATATTATTGTTGGTATAAATATTTTCGTTTTAAAAGATTGTTCTATTTTTAATAATGTTATTGGCTCTGTTATTATTGTGGATGACACAAGTGACATTAAAATATGTTTTTTAGTACTTCTAATGCCAATATCATTACAAATAACTATAATTTTGTGTTTTCTTCTATTCATGTACCCTCCTCTTAAAGGGCATAGAAAGGGAAGTTTAAAGTTGGTAATAAGGCATGTTAGGTTTTCTTTTTCTTTTTATTTTAGTTGTTTTTTTTTTATCTTTTTGATTTATGTTATATCCAAATGTTTTGGCTTAAAATGTTAGTGGGTTTAATAATGATGCATCGGTTATTGATTGTAAGAAATTTTTGTATAAAAATCGAGCACATATGTGTGATCTTATTGAAACAAAGTTGTTGCTCTCTTCTATTTCTGATAATTACATTGCTAAGTAGTTTAATCCTTTTTTTCTGATCAAGGAAACGTGCATAAATTTGACTTAGACGGTTGTGGGAGCTTTTAAATTAAATGGAATTGTGGTATTCTTTCTTTCAAAACTTTAGATGTTAAAACACAATACATTTATAGACATGTCATTTTCTCTCATTCATTTAAATTTTTTATCACATTTAATTATGCTAAAATAGTGTTTTGGTCTGGAATTTTTTGTGAGAATATATTTTCTTACTTTCTAATATTATTAATAAGCCATATATCATTTTAGGTGATTTCAATTGTAATCTTAGAGTTAATGAAAAGATAGATTGTCTCTCACCTATCCTTAGTAATTATTTGTTCTTAATAATTATATTCTTAATTATAATCATATAGAATAACAAATTATCGGTCATAATTTTAATTGGCTCAATGATCTACTTGATAATCTTATAAGCCATCTTTTAGACAGAGCTTTTTACGATACTTTTCAATTAATCTTTTCCCTTTTATTTTTTCAAAGTTTTCAATATTTTCACATTTGATCACTCTGATATTTTAATTCATTTAGGAAATACATGTAATCCAAGGCATGAAATTTTATATAAAAATTAGTAGTATTGTTGCTCTGGTTTCTTTGAAATTATTAATGATGTTTAGTATATTAATGTTAAAGTGATCCTTTATATTTTCGATTTATAATAAACTCAATAATATTAAAAATTCTTAATGAGTTGAAAATTATATAAATCCAAATATATTTCAAATTATATTTGACATTTGAAAAAAATGTGTTATTATGAAATGCTTGTATACCAATCCTCTTTGCAGAGATTAGCTTAATCAAGCTTTTATTATCAAAAGTGACCTTCATAATATTTTTTTCTTGCAATTATAAATGGGCAAAGTAAAGAGCTAAAATTGACTGATTATCTAATGATGAATATAATATTAAATTTATTTATTAAAAGTCTAGAATTAGAAATAATTCTAATTTTATAAAATAAATTATTGTAAAGAATAGTTATTTGCAGCATTAGAAGGATATTGCTCAAGGAGTCGTCTCTTTTTTTACTTTTCTTTTTAACAATCATATTGGTGTTTCTTATATGGTTTTTTATTACATTCTTGTTAGTAAAATTATTACTTTTTTGATAGAGTGGATTTAAGTTTTAATTATGAAGTTTACTCATGATGATTTTAAGATTTAGTGTTTAGGGTTTATGGTTTATATGATTTTAATTACTTTTTTATGGTAGAAGATTTTATCCCAAAATAGATCATAAAAGAATATTGATATAATGAACAAAAGTTTTCTCTTTGATAGATTGGTTAAATTAGGATTCTCTAGTACTATTATTTGTTAGATTAAGACATGTAATGCTGATGTTTTTTTTTTAAGTTCTTGTTAATGGTGAAATTAATTATTATTTTTCTTCTCCTTTGAGTTTGCACAGGATTGTTCTTTCTCACCTTATTTGTTTGTCATAGTTATGGATGCTCTTTCTTCTAAGTTAGATGCTTTGAATCTATTTTATGTGCAGTATAGCTTTAATAAAGTTAACAATCTTATTTATGTTAAGGATATTTTGATATCTAAAAATGTTAATAAATCTCATTTGATTGATATCCTGAATAATATTAATATTGCCTCTAATATACTATTTGATTCTCTAAACTGGTTATTTATTTCTCTAAAGTTGTAGATTATACTCTTCGACATAATTTATATGTGTTAGTGGCTTTATTATTATACCTTTGCCTTGGACTTATTTATCATTAAGAGTTTAAAGCTTAACATGGACGAATGTCATAAAAATTTTGACAAACTTAGAATTTTGTTGGTTGGTTGGAAGTAGAAAAGTTTATTCATCACTGGTCATTTTTTCTAATTACACCATTAATGTTATATTTATTATTGGTTTTGTTCCACTGCTTGACACAAATGCATTAGGAAAAGAATTAGCACTATGGTTAGTAATTTTTTTTTGGCATAATTATAATGAAAAAATCTCATTATTATTTTATATAAATCTTTGAGATGTCTAGTTGTTCCTTTCCTAGATAATATTAATTTTATGTGTAAATATATAATTTCCTTGAGACATTTTAATTATAATTTTTTATTAGTTAATTGGTGTAGGGATCATTAAGGGTCTATTTGGATCAAACATGGATCCACAACTTTGCCATTTTGGAAATACCTTGTGAACATTGCATTCAATATTAGGAGATGTCTTTCATTTATAATAAATAACAATAGGGATCGTTTCTTTTTCTATGATCTTTAGATTAAAGGTCATTTTTTATTTAAGATTTTTAGAATTTTAGTATTTAATTTATTTTAATTCACAAGCAATATCAAAGTTGAAGATGTTTTAGTTAATTGTAATTGATGTTTTCCTCAACATGGGGATGCATTTAATCACTTTTTCACCTTTTTTACAACATCATTGTTGTTGTAGGTGACAAAATGAATTGTTTTTTTAAAGAAAAATACTTTTATCCTGATAACACTTTTTATTAGTCTATTTTCACAAAAAAAGAATTATTTATGATTCAAATAGATTAATTTGTGTTGAAATATCTAATTTAAATTACAGAATTTATTGTCTTTCCTGTTAAGATTTATAATAGGAAATAATTTATACTTACTTATGAGAAATAAATTCTTTCCTTAATATAAGAAGATATTTTATTTCCTAAAAATTATTTTCTTTGATTAGGAATTATTTGTTTTCCTATTTTATGTTATATTTTTTATATCTCTTAATAATTAATATGAATTGATTATTGAAAATATTATGTGCTATATCTTTCCTTTCATATCATTTTTTTTATTATTTTTCTTATTATAGGAAGCGTGTAAGAGTTATTTTTACCCATGTTCATATCAATGAAACAATATAGTATTCCACAGTATCCCGCAATATTCTGAATTTCAACATGGTATCAGAGCCTAATTTTGTACTCTAGCCACCGGCCCTCCTTTGAGAATTGTCGGGCTCCCTTCCTGCCATCCTCTATGCAGGAAGGGAGGGGAATAATGAGTTTTTCTCAATCGAGAAAGGCGATTGTGGAGGAAAATGGGATTTTGGCGGCATTAACTCCATCTTCCAATTCGACGTCAACTCGAAGACTCCATGGGGGAGGTCCATTCGGACCCCAATCTCAACTTCGATCATTCGTATCCTCCTACCAAGACCATGTTCGTCCCTGATTGAGACTGCCTCTGCCCGACTTCTTTTGGCTAATGGCTCGACTCGCTCTCTCACTCAAGTCGTCGAGCATCTGATCTTCTCGGTAGAAAAGATGACAAATATTTATCCTAATTTGTCGCTCCCCAAATCTCCTGCGCCGTCCATTTCCATCTCCACCGGAGAGGAGCCGACTGTGCTTATGGTATTGTGGAAATCTCTTCTATTCAACTGCAGCGGCTTCACCGTCTATGATTCCATGGGTAACCCCCTTTATCGCGTCGACAACTATTCCTTATCCAGCCTTAATGAAATTGTTCTCATGGACACCATCAGCAAACCTCTCTACACCATCCGTCGAAAGTGATTTACTATAACAAATCAATGGAACATCTACAAGGGGAAGCAGTAGCGGCGCCGAGGCTGATCTTCTTGGCGAGGAAGCATGTTGTGCTTGTCTGATCCAAATCACCGGCGAATGATCCCCAAAGGTCCGGTCTGGTTTCGCAAACATCTGGTCAGGCTCAACCGCCAATTCAAACTCAAGTCATCTATTTCTCCTGCAGTATTTTTTCATCCCCGCCCAAGCGTCAGGGGGAGCTGCGTTTCCAACGGGACCTTTTCCGAGCAGCCATCAGAATCGGAAACCTCTCTACATTCTTCTCTGCATCCGACAATTACTATAGCTTCTGTTGCACCTCGCTTTTACCTTATGTAGGCGCCGTCAGTCGTCCGAGTCAATTTCTACAATCTTTGTTGTGCCTCAATTTTTTTCCCTGTGTAGGTGTCTAGTTCACTACACCATTGCAATTTCAACGGTTTTCCCTGCGCAGACATTTAGGCAACTGCAGTCATGTATTTTCAACAAACAACGAGCATTATTTTCTCTTACTAATAGAAATTTTGGTTCGCCAATGGGATTTGTTTTTTCTCTCAAGTGCAAATCACGAAAGATCTCCAGTTGAAATCTCAGTTTTCACTCTCTGGTCGAAACCGTGTCCCCCGCAGAATCGCACAGAGCATTAATTTCCTTGTGGGCTCTCCCATGATCGTTTTCCCTGCTGTTTTTTTTCAGTAGCAGATCTTTCCTGTGGGATCTCTTAGCTGTCGGACCTCCCGATTTCCTTTCAGGACTGTCAATGCACCTACCTACAACGGGACCTATCCCTTGATGGTTTTTTCCGCCACTGGAACTCCCTCATGTAGTCCTTCATGCCGGTAAAATTCCCTCCTGCGGCCTTTCCTGCCGCCAGAACTTCCTGTGGACATATTTGTTGCCAACTGGACCTCTGGGCTTACTCCTGCAGCCGATTCTCTCCCCTGCAGCCTTTCCTACCGTCAAACCTTCCTCTTGCAGCTTTTCTCGTCGTCAGATCTACCTCAACAAATTTTTCCTTGCATATTTTGGTCAACTCTTCCCAAGGAAAGCACTGCAATTTTCTGCAGCATTATTGCAGCCTTCCCAGTGCACTATAGTTTTCCTGAGCACGTCGTTGGCCCTCTGCAGCTTTCCTGCAACCTCCCTACAGCCTCTTTGCAGCTTTCTTGCAACTTCTCTGCAGCCTTCTTGCAGCTTTCATGCATTTATCAGTCAACCGGTGACTTACAAATTTATCAATGTCTTGAAATAGAGCTTAGCCCTCGTCCAGGCCACTCTCATGCTTCAGCCACTCTCAGACTTCGACACTCTCGGGCTTCGGCATTCTCGGCTCCTAAGCTCTCAGGCTTCAACACTCTTAGGCTTCAACACTCTTAGGCTTCGACACTCTTAAGCTTTGGCATTCTCGGCTTCGACACTTACGGTTTGAAGATTATTAGAATTTCGTGTTAGCAAATTGATGCTACATGTCCGGTCAGCATACTGCAGTCGATGTTTTCAAATTCAAATTGAATATGGTTTTCAACCATGTTCAACTTGAGGGGGAGTGTTGAAATATCTAATTTAAATTACATAATTTATTGTCTTTCTTGTTAAGACTTATAATAGGAAATAATTTATTCCTAGTTATGAGGAATACATTCTTTCCTTAATATAAGGAGATATTTCTTTTCCTAATATTTATTTCCTTTGATTGAGAATCATTTGTTTTCCTATTTTATGTTATTTTATATCTCTTAATAATTAATATGAATTGATTATTAAAGATATTAGGTGATATATATTTCCTTTCATATCATTTCTTTTTTATTATTTTTCTTATCATAAGAAGCGTGTAAGAGTTATTTATACTCCCGTTCATATCAATGAAACAATATAGTATTCCACAGTATCCCGCATTATTCTGAATTTCAACAATTTGATATAAATATTATTCAATTAATTCGGTTTTGCATACTTTGAGAATCTTTAACGAAGGTTTTAATACTCGTGAGATTCTTATTTCCAAGGGTATTAATGTTTATCCTAATTATGTTATTAGGCTTAATGAGTTTGAGACTTATAATCATTTATTTTTTGAATATTATTTCTGTCGTAATTTGTTGAAAATTGGTGTCCCTAATGGGGGTTTCTTTTTTGTTTCTAGTAATTTTCATCAATTTTTTTTAATACGCGGGCGGTATTAATTATCAAATTTACAAAAGATTCTTCTTGTTAGCTATTCCAGTTATTGCTTATTGGATTTGGTTTGAAAGAAATTGAAGAAATTTCAATAGGTCTATTACTCACATTAAGGTTATTGCTAGAAATATTCATTAGCTTATTAAAATGAAATACAAAAAAAGTGAAATTTTAAGAATGTGATACCTAATTTTATTAGGGTTTTTTATAATTTGTAATTCATTTTTCTCTCTATTTGTTTTGTTTATTTGTTTTTTATTTGAATTTATTTGCCTTCACTTCTTTATGGTACCTTATTGTAGTCTTTTTTCTGTGTTAGCCTGATATTTTAAAGATTTTTTTTTTTTTTTTGCATGATTATATTTTCTTCTTTTATTTTTGAGTGGTTTTTTCTTTGTTTGATTGATTGGCGTATGTTAGTGGCTCTTGTTGTGTGGATGTTGTTTATGCATCTCAATCTTTTTGGTTAAGTTTTATTTATAGTAATTATTTTTACATATTTATCTTTGCTTATCTTTTAGCTTTATTTCCTTCGTTCTTTAACTTATCTTTGTGTCTCAGAAGTTCAATTGTGATATCTTATTTATTTATTTATTTTTGGAAAAAATTGAGTTAAGTTGTGTTTAATTTTAAAATAAGTGTATTATATCAATTTATTAATTATTTATAAATTACATATATTTAAAATAAAAGGTAGACAATATAATAATCAGTTCGACACCCAATTCGCGACCCAGCCGCCCCGCCCTCCCCTCAAATTCCCAAATCATGGCCGCTTTGAAGGTGA